CAATGTCTTGCTCACCAAACTAGACTCCTTTTTAAACCAAACTTGCAGGGCTCAACGCATGACCATTTTGAAAATCTCTGCCTATCACCTTCCTCCTCTACCTTAAATCTCTACGTCTTTCATCTTCATCATTAATTTGACTAAGTCCCAATTTTCCCTAAAGACCTTTAGAGTCACTGTCCTACAGGACCTCCCAGGACAATCACAAATGGATTACAATAAAGAATCAGGTTACAGAGGAATCTGGACCGCTCTTGCATTGACACAGGAACTCTTACTGTCACCATAACTGTACAGGAACACTAAGGCCATGAGCAGCCTTCTCTAAAAAGGCCACTAGATATGCAGGAACTGTACTATCACAAGGGCTTCAAAATTTCCCTCGCCTTGTTTCCTGTGAACACTCAGAAAAGGTGCATGTCAACTGATTCAAATTAAAAAAAAAAAAAAAAAAGGCTTTCTCTGGTTGCTCCACTAGTATTATGGAAAGGTAGTGTTTGCACCACCTCCAACCACCTACAGTTTTCAAGACATTAGGTAACAAATTTACAGAACATGTCTGCACTATCCTCCTCACCTCAACTGCCAGGAAGCAGCGATCTAATCCAGCTCCATCCCAACTTTTAAGATTTCCTATCACTTTCATAGAGAGGGTCAAAATGCTTCTGTTCCCTAACAGGAATATTCACAGTAGAAATGTGAACTTATTGGTGACAGATATTATATGAACGGGTTATAAAGACAACCCTGTACATTTATTTCATAATTAGAAAACTGTCTTAAACTTTTATTGCTTTTTCACTTCTATGTATCAGCATGAGAACAAAACTAGATTCTTGCATTTCATGTCTCTCACTGAGGCTAGCATTATCTGATGACAGATTTGTGGGGTTTTTATAATTATGCCTAGCAGAAAATCTACTTTGTAATGGGCATTCAAAAAATGATATCTGACTGAATTGCTGAGGAGGAAATCCTCTTGTTTATTTTCTATATGATAATTTCCTCATAACCAATCTTTCTGGTTATGTATCTTTCAGGTGAGTTCTCAAGGATTATCTACAGATCAATGATAATCACTGGTTTCAGTTGCATCTAAACTATGCTGTTTATCTTGTTTCAAGCCACTCTTTCTTCGAGGTTGTTGTGGAAAGCAAAGAACTTTTCAACCACTGCTTTCCAGTTAAAAACTGAATTGGTTTATAGTTACTGCCTCAACCTTAGACTATTAAATGTTAACACTCAGCTCCTATATAGTTCCTATTTCCCTTAACTAAAGTAAAAACAAGACAGATGGACTAAAAACAGAATTTAACTTATATTCTATCAGAGAGAAAAACTCCTATCTTCCATTTCTTAAGGGTTTTCTCTCAGTGTAGTAATTTATCATAGAACAAAAGATATAAAACATATAAACAAAATGTGGTAAGCTCACACTTTTGATAGATAATTCTAAAAAATTGTAAATGTATGCTATAGGACAATTATTATTTTATAACATAAAAAGATGAAATCACAATTTCATACTGCCTTACAACCCACAAATATCTAATTTGTTCTCCAGACTTCTCATTAGGAAGTTGAGAAATACTTTCAATTGGGTTGCAATTTAAAAACAAAAACAAAAATAATTTTGTAAGACAGGAAAGTCCCCCTGTTTGATTATGCACCAGGCTGGAGTGCTAAAATAATTTCTGGGGGCTTTGTTCATATGGAAAAAATGACTTACTGTTTATATTATGTTTTCAGTTCTGGGACTTCAAACTACCAATGTTCTAGATTTTTTACCTTCTAGATTTCCTTCAGACCCACAAAGCATAGGTGGAAAAAACACATATACATATGCACATAGACACACACAGCACATAAAGATAAAAAGTCCTTCTCTGTCAATATGCCTCCAAATCCTGAATTTGCTCCCTTCTGGTGAATAATTCTCACATCCTCAAAATGAAGTCACATATTCCTAAAGCCAACAATCTCAGACCTCCTCAATCAGATTCTGAGGGTGAGCCCAGGTGATTGTATTCCTTAACAAAAACTTACGTTACTCTGAAATACCCCAACCCTGAATGCACATGAGAGAGGACAAATAAAGCTTGACCGTCATCAATAATAACTTGTCCTAATCTACAACAGTATCTATCTAGAGGTTTAGAGAACTGCCATCACTTTTGTTGTTTTTTGAAAATATATAAATCACTACTTTCTAACTGTTTCACCTCTACCTGCCTAACAGGACATAATAGTTACTGTTAAAACACTCTTGAGTACTGGTCTAGCACATCTCTCTCCCCACAAAAAAAAAAAAAAAAAAAAAAAAAATCGCAGAAGATCCAAAGCCAGAATGGATATCCAATCTTCAGCATAACAGTCCCTCCAAGGGCAAGACCAAAAATATCTCCTAAGCCCAATGGGAATTCCTGACACTAAGGTTCCTCTTTTGAAGCCTCTTCTGGAGATGTGTATATTAAATGGGTTGCTGCAGTGTTATTTGGACAGGTTAATGTAGGATGTTCACATAATCAGCAGGCAAAGAGCAGGGTCCAAGAAAAAAGAACCACAGCAGCAGCAACTTTTAACAATGTACAGAAAGCCCTACCAGAATAGATGAGTACTGAAAGCCAAAATGACAAAACAGAAACTAAATTTGCCTTCTTTGCAAATTTATAGATCACAGGGTAAAACCCTTGACAAGATTTTAACTGAAAGACATGTGGTCCTGTAACTAAAACTTTGTTAAGATCTCATAACTCTTTCCACATACAGGATATATGATAAAGTGTAAACAGTGAAGATTTCACTAAAAGAGCATGAATTTGAAACAAAAGCCAATACCAAGCTTGACAACTCTTGCAATCATAAATTCTATGGATAATGAAATACTCTGCACCAGAACACCCAGACCTATGAGAGAAGAATTAAATATACATATCCTTTGTACTTAAAGGGATTAAGTACAAAGATGTCTTGTTTGAAAACAGTAGAAAAATCTATAGTTATCCAAAATTTCTGAAATTAAAAAAAAAACAAAAACAGTCCCCCTTAAACCTGAAAAGTACCTCAAATTGCTAGGAGCTCATTTCTTGTGACTTTAGACATTGTAGTTTCTATTCTCCTTGGTAAAGGATTTACATTAACTAAAATGATGCATGCCAAACTATCTCTAGCACACACTGAAAATCTGGAAGACAGGACAGGAAAGGATTTGAAATTCAATTTCCTACATAAAAGTTGAAGGTTTGCTTCTGTTTTGTTTTTGTCTGTTGGACTTTTTCACTGCCTTTACAAATGCAGCAATTTGCAAACATTCGTATCTAGGAAAGCATGTTCTAAGAAAGGAGAAAAGGCCCCAACTTTTAAGACTTGAGAATGTACTTTCATTCCATAAGTACCAGTTCATAAAATCAGCTAGCCATGCTCTTGACCAAATGGATGACTTGGCCTTGCTGTGGAAAATTTTTTTTTAATTTAAGTAAAATTTCACATTTAAAATCCTAGAAAGATGGAAGCTCCAAGCATTCTGCTTAGAACAAAGAAAAAGCTTTGTAAGAGTCATTTGAAAGGATATGACGATCTGTATTAAACATATTTTACACTAAAGTACTAGTGTAAAGTACTAGATGGACTTTAAGCTTCCTTTCTGTTCCAATCTTCCTTAATTGTCTTAGTAACTTTACTTGACTCTTCTCAGAGCCTTAATGATTACAAACAGAACTTGAATGAGAAGATTTAGAATTAAAGTTGTCATCATTAAACCCGATTAAACATTACAGACAGGGAGATGGCAGTAGAATAAAGCATTCTGGAGTAGGAGCAGGAAGAATAATGAGTAGTGCGCAGACCCATGAATGAAGCACAACAAACCACCAAGTCAGGATGGCTGTCGGTGGGGATGGCGGACATTGTCTCTGTCTCTTGGGTGACAACGACCCACCCAAACAGCTGGAGACTTGGCCTCTATTAATATGACAAACTCCCGTAAGTAACCAACCACTCGCTGGAAAACATGTCAACTAGAAAGTGAATTCTCTATGTAAGCGTGAATTATCCCTTACTGGCAGTTTTCCCACTTTCTATCCCAAAAGAGAATCCATATAACCAACGCCGCAAAATGGTTAGACATCTCACCCTTATATTGTAACTCTGGCACATCTGTTCCAAACAAAAGCCATCGTTTTAACTAAGGCGGGATTTAGTCTCTCCATTCAGTAAAAGGCTGTGACTATTGTAGCGCATCCCACAGGCTCCCACTCTGGCTCTCCCCTCAAGTCACATTGTGATATCACCGTGACGGACCCTCGATATTTAATGAGCCTTCCACTGAAAAACTGCACCAGAACACCCAGACCTGCCGGGAGCCGGGGAAAGGAAGCTTGAACGCCTTGCGCAGTGCCTCAGCAACCCACAGGAGGGTGGCAACACCGGCAGGCACCTCCTCGGCACTGAGCAGCGGTCGCCAAGCCTTTCCCCAAGTTTCCTTCCCTTCCACTAAATCAACCGGCAGGATCCCTACCCCGACCCGTCCTATTCGGAGAAGTCACACCTGCAACTCGCTGAAGGACAGGGGGACAGCTCCCAGCACAGCACCAAAGTTAGGTTGGGCAGGGGCCATGACGCACACCACCTTATGCGGGGCAAACCCGTGCTGCCAACTTTCCCACTTCCCCTCCTCTGCGTACTGCAGCCCAAACTTTGTCGTTCGCCCACCTGGCCGCCGAGCGGAGAATCGGGTCCAGCCGCACCCGACTCCCCCCCATCCCCACCCGGGAAGGCGGCAGTGTTGACTTTCACCCCAGCCCCTGGCCCCGCACCCTGCTCGGCCGGACCCCTGCCCGCGAACCTCCCGCTGCCTCCCCCAGTCCCATCTCCCCGCCCCCAAACCCTCGCAGAAAACCCAGGATGGGAGCAACTGCATCCCGACCCCTCGGGTTACGACTGCCCACAATCCTCTGGGCTTCAGAGAGCCCCGGTCGCAGGCCCTCCGGCCGCCCACTCACCACTGGTGAAGGGCTCCATTTTCCCCCCGCCACGGCTCCTTACAGCCGGAGCACCCTAGCTTCCTACACGGAGGGCTGAAGCGGCCCTGCAGACTGAGCATGCCCAGCGCGGCCACCGAGGGATGTTAGGGAGGCGCTGCGAGGGGCGGCGCCGCTCCGCAACTCCGTGATTCAGCCGTTCCGGGTTTTCGCGATAGCTGCAGAAAATGCGAAGGATCAAAATAGAAAACGCTTCGCAGGGCCCGCAGCCAACACCGGAGAGAGGAGGGGTTGGAGAGGGTTATAGCGGAGGGCGGGCCCATGGGCGGGGTGTGAACAAGCCACGCCCCCACCAGGTTTGCCTCCACTCTCTCTTCTGGCCCCCGGAACCACGTTCAGTCAGTCAGCAAACGTGAAGGCCTACTGCGTCCTAGCCAGCATGATCCTAGGCTTCCAGTATTCACCACCGCGGTGGAAAAACACAGTCGTTACCCCACGGAGCAGACATTCCGGAAACAGACAATAAACAAATGCAGAAGATACACGAGGCTGAAATAAGTGCCCTCACTGAGCATTAAATCAGGAGTGTATGTAGAGTGAGCGGGTCGCTAATTCGGGTGACTTGGTGAAGAGGGGACTCGCTGGGAGGTGCCACTGTCGCCGAGATACGAAGGCGGAGGGGTCGCTCCCCGAACTGCAGAGCAGCTCCGGGCGCTCATTTCGCCAAGGCTCAGAAGAGGAGGCGCTGGGAACTGTCTCGGCAGGGTTGCCCGCCTGCCACAGAGCGGTCCCAAGTGGGCGTATCCCAAGAGACAGAAGGCAGTCGGGGGACCCCAGGGATCTAGTCCCCCGGCTCTGGGTTCCGGGCGTGGCCTCTACAAGCAGGCGAATCACAAAACCCGGCGCTGGATATGCCGGAGGCCGTGGGCACCGCAGGAGGTGTTCGGAAGGCTTTTTGGAGCCGAGCCCTAAATCAACACCTGCGGCTCCGAAGGGTGCCGCCGCTGAAGTCCTGGGCCTAGGCGGACGGAGCTGGACCGGAGAAGTAGAAGCTCCCTTAACCATCTCTGGCCCCCAGCCCTGGCGCCTTTGCCTCCAGCCCCTTGCCACCATTGTTCGCGATGTCAAATCTGGGCAGTCCCGGCAAACCTAGGGGATGAAGCATCTAGGGGCCCGTGGGCCCCGGGGAGGCTAGCCGGGGCCGGCTCCCTCATCCCTTGCTTGGTGTGCGCGGCGTTGCTACTCTCGAGGCGGAGGCCCAGGCCCTTCCGGACCGCGGCCCCCGCCTTTCTCCCTCTCCCTCCTTCCCCGCATCCCCCGCCGCCGCAGCAACTTGGCTTAGGCTGCGCCTCGTTGCGCCTGCCAACTGTCACAGGCTACTCAAAGGCTGTCAACAGGAGGACGCAGGGCAGCGGTTGCAAACACGCCGGAAAGCGCAAAACAGCCTGGGCAAACGGGGACGACAGGGGTGTCGTTTGACCCCTACGGGAGTTAGAAATTAGATAGAAGTAAAGTCAAAGTGCAATATTATATTTTAAATGTCAATTGTATTAAATCACACACCTCCCACTCCACTTTAAAACCTCCAAAGGACAACAATCGCACTTAGAATAAAAACGAAACTCTACCTATTTCTGGGGAGGCCATCTCCTCCTACACGTGCTCACAGCTTTGGCCACAAAGGGCTTCCTGCAGTTCCTGGAAGTAGTAGCCAAGTTCCATCCAAGCACGTTCCTCGTGCGAGAACTGTTCCTTGTGACTGGTACTTTGCCTGCTGGTTCCTTTTTGTTTAGGTCTCAACTCAAATGTCAACTCTAGAGAGCCCTTTCCCGACCACACAGTCGAAAATAAACGCAAACATGGGCTGCTGCTTAATTTTCTTAGAGCACTCATTACTCTCTAAAACAATGATTTCGTTTGTAGCTTTATTATTATCATCCTCCTTCTCAAGAATGCCAGCTGCGTAAAGGTAGGGTCATTATCTTTTTCAAGGATTGTCTTCCTAATCCCCAGATATCTGCAATCACTTTTTAAATAAATATGAGAATGGATGCAGTAATTTTTAGAGTTCTAGTTAACTTGCAATGTTGAACACTCTTCCAGAGAATATCTACCTTATTTTTTATTAAACGGCGTGTATGTGATCAGTACAGGAAGGGTGTCTGTATCATATGATACCGCAAAACTGCTCTCCCACCACTGTTAAATAAAGATAATCAGAGGCTTTAGACTGCCCTCTGCCCCCCACCGCAGGGAACTTAACCAAAAATAGGAAGTGAACCTCAGCTGGTGCATCTGTGTTCAGATATTTTATGCAGGACTGGATTTTGTCAAAAGGACCCTGCACATTGTGTTGCTTAGACAAGAGGCTCTTCCCTATATTTTAGAACCTGGCATGTCCCTTTAGAGTTATTTTTGCAACCAAAGTACTTAGGATCAGAGATACTTAAAACTCCACAGCTTGTTAAATCCCCTCACCTCACCTGTAAGTTAGACTCTTTCATGCTTTTAAGTGTGAAACACATTATCTTGTGTGTTGTCTTAAACATAATTTGTGCAGAAACGTGGTAAAAATGTTTCATGTGGCACTAATAGGTGGATTATCATGTCTTTCTGAGATTTCTTTGACAAAGAGACAAATAATTTCTTTCTTCTCTCTTTGCCGTCCTCTTGCCTCCCATCCTCCTATTCCTATACTGGAGTGGGAGGGAAGAAGAGAGAGAGTCATTAAGCAGATTTAAAGAATTCTGGTTTTGGATTGGAGATAAAAGTATGCAAACCCAGGGTGTTTCAGGATCCTACCTACCCTCAAAATAATAATAATAATAATGTATTTTGTTTGTTTTATTCTGTTGGGGGGTTTTTTATACCATTTTACATTTGACTTTAAAGTCTTTATGAGGGAACACAATTTTACACATTCACTGCTGAAACCCATTTTGTTTCAGTTTTTAACCTCTTCTTGGCCTCCCACACAGAACTTCCTCTCTCGTTTAAGGGCATGATACTTTAAATTGCTCTGAAGTTACTACTCATAATCAGAGGGGATAGTGTGACATTATCTACTATATTTCAGAATCTTTGCTTTCTACCATTTAACATTTGAAAATAAAGAAACTGGAGAACTAAGTATAATATAACAAAGAGAAAAAAAAAACTCCTTAAATAGCAAACAGCATTTATTTATAAAGAAGCAACAAACTTGCTAATCAATGAATATAAGAACTTTTTTTTTTTTCCATCAAAGCACTTGGCATGGCATGGATTGTTTATCCAAGCATCAGTTTAACCGATGAGGGAACTGAAGTCTGGAAAGGATAGAAGATTTATTCATAGTCCAGTGGCAGATGGGGGCTGGGACTTAGGAAGCCTGTGCTGTGAACCAGTGCCCTGAAATCTGCTATTGCTTCCCTGTTCCCACAGGGAAATGCCCATAATCTGTGCAAGTGATATGGCATAAAGAGAAATACAGCTAACTTCAGCCTACTAGAAAGCAATTCCATTAACTAATTGAAATTCCAATTTAATTTTTTTATATCCCACATCAACTTTAGGTTTAGCAATATTAAATGTTCTTTCTAATTATTTTGAATTAAGCACTAAACAATATATGAATTCAGTGTATACATTTGCAAATATCTGTTCAGGACTCTTAAATAAATGGAGGGTGCTGTTTGTTGCCAGGACAAGATGACCACTATGAGGTTTCCAGCTACTTTAGAGTCTACTCAGCCACCCCAAGAACCAAAGAAGTCAATACCTCATTACCCTGGTACTGCTCTTGCAGCACAAATGCTCAGCATCAATTAGTGATCGTTTGAAATGATATCAAATTAGTCAATGTTTAGAACACTAAAAAAAAAAAAAAAAGCAGAATAAGTATCCAACAGAGTTCTTGTATAGCTTAGACATTAGCAAAAAAGATTCAGCCAAATAAAGAGAAAGGTTATCAAGAAAGAACAGTTCTGTATGAGTTCAGATACATTTTGTTTGGAATACAAAAGCAAAATGCTGATGAACTATTTTAAATAATACGGAAATTTACCATCTCACATAACAAGCCCAGAGATTAGTCACAGCTCTCCAACCTTATCAAAAACTCAACTTACACCGTTGTCTTTGTGAGTGATTTTCTGAAACAATGTCGCGAGGTCAAAAAGGCTGCATCAAGGGAGGAAGAAGGAACCTTTTCTCTGGTTTGTCTTTCATAAGAGCAAGGAAACTTTTCTTGGAAATGCCCCATTAGAATTCTCTTTAGGTTTCATTTGCCAAAAATGTATTTTGTTTATTTCTACGCAAATCACTGGAAATTAAAGCAAAGTTACCATGATCAGTTTCTTAGACAAAGCAGTTTAGGAGTACTGAGTTTAAGATCAGTTTCTGTACTTCATATGGGGTGTGAGGGGGGGAATTGGACAAAATCATTTTTCTCATTCAGAAGGGTAAAAGGGGGTTAAGCAACCAAAATATCAGGTAAGCAATCTAAATGTTCACTAAGAGTTATAAACACTGATATTTTAATAATATTTTGATAATATTTTTAAATCCTAAGCCACTGTAGAAGAAAAGTAAAAATAGAGCTCCATTCAATGCAACTTTTCATAAAATTGATCAAAATAACTAAGATTATAAGCCAAAATGATATATTACTAAACCTTGAACTTTGACCTGAAAGTAACTACTTAAATAGAAAAATAAATCTTAGGCATTTGTATGAGTTTGCTAGCGCTGCTGTAAAAACAAACAAACACACAAACAATCACAATCTGAGTGGCTTAAACAACAGAAAATTTTTGTCTCATAGTTCTGGAGGCTAGAACTCAATCAAGGTGTCAGCAGGGCCTTCCCTCTGAAGGCATCAGGGAAAGATATATGTTCCAGGCTTCTATCCTGGCTTCTAGTAGTTCCTTGGCTTGTGGCAGCATAACTTCAATCTTCACATGGCATTCTCCCTGTGTGTATGTCTGTGTTCATACTTCCCTTTTTAATAAGAACACTAGTCATATTGGCTGAGGGGCCCACCCTACTCCAGCATGACTTCACCTTAACTAATTATACTGCAGCAACCCAATTTCCAAATAAAGTCCCATTCTGAGGTGCCAAGGGTTACAACTTCAAACTATGGATTTTGCCTAGACACAAACTTGTCATAACAGCATCTGTCTAAAAGAAATAAGATTG